CCAACCGAGATATACTCCGGTTGGAAGAGTTGGGTGTTTTGTCCAACTTCGGAATCCCAACCGAGATGATTTATTCTGGTTGGAAGAGTTGGTGTTTTGTCCAACTTAGGAATCCCAACCGAAGATGATTTACTCCGGTTGGAAGAGTTGGTGTTTTGTCCAACTTCAAATCCCAACCGAGATGATTTACTCCGGTTGGAAGAGTTGGTGTTTTGTCCAACTTCGGAATCCCAACCGAGATGATTTATTCCGATTGGAAGAGTTGGTGTTTTGTCCAACTTAGGATTCCCAACCGGAGATGATTTATCCCGGTTGGAAAGTTGGTGATTTGTTCAACTTGCTATTTCCTACCGCAGCCATGATTTACTCCGGTTGGAAGAGTTGGTGATTTGTTCAACTTTGTTATTGCCAACCGAGATGGTTATTTCAGTTTATGAATTTGCTGTTTTGTTCTGCTTAAGTACTCCAACCGAGTTATGAATTCCGGTTGACGAGGTGTTTTGTTCAATCTATGATTTATACCGAGATGTTTTGCTGAAGATGGAATTGATGACAACCGTGCAAACACTTGGCAAAATTTAAGTTTTTCATTGATAAGAAAGTCAATACAAAAGGTGGGGACAGAGCCCGGTTACATCAGAAACGCAGAAACCAAACATACAAAAAGAAAAAAAAACTAAACTAAGGGGGAGAGATTGGTAAACTCGTCCTCGGCGGCCTCAAGGTTGATGGTTGGACGTTTGTCTTGGGCACCGGGCTCGTCATGGTCGGGCTGCTCCTGCACCTCGGCATCCTTTGCCTCTGTATCTATCTCGGCGTCTCCCCCTTCAAGCCCTTCCTCGGCCTCAGCTTGCAACGCGTTGAAGACGTCGTTCGCGTAAGGCACGAGGTAGACCGGTAGGGAAGCAAGAGGAGGATTGGCAAATACGTCGGTGTCAGAGCCTTGGCCGAGATGCTCGCAGGCGGATTTCCAGCCAGCTTTGAAGTAAATGTCTTGTGTTGCAAAGACTTGTTTCTTATAGCTCTCCTCGGCTTCGTTGAAGCCGGCGTTGTTAGCATCTCGGCAGTCTTTCTTCCTCGACTTTTTGAGCGCGTTTAGCTCGGTCTGGAGCTCATTCTGTTTTTTCTCAGCCTCATCCAGCCAACCGAGCAGTCTGTTGTTGTGTGCATTAGCCATCTCTAGTGAAGACTTTGCCCGGCCGAGCTCGGCTTGGAGGCTCTGGACTTGGCTGGCTATGTCATTGGACTTTTGCCGAAGTCTATGGATGCGCTCCATTACTAGGTGTTATTTCTGAATGGCCTGCAAGAAGCAAAGTTGATTAGAGAAGGAACCGAGCAAACACTTGTGAAAATTTCAGAGGCACATTGACTTACCCTAGCCATAGACTTCACTGATGATTTTACCAACCGAGTGTCAGGGACGTGGTCGCTGCCAACCACGTCGCTCGGTAGAAGAAGAGCTTTGGTAAGATCGAAGGCGAGCAAATGTTCCTTATCGCCCTTGATCGAAGCCGTGGCCGGAATGTCTTGACCCCGGTGCTTCAGCTGTGGACGCCAGGCCGGCACTGGGACAGGAGTGTCAGATGGCTGCTCAATAGACAGCTCGGTGACAAGCTCGACAGATGGATCTACGCGAGCTCTTTTACCAGCACGGCGAGGAGCAGGTTCTCGGCTGGACTACTCGGTCGCTGGAGAGGCAAGAGCAACCACGGCGCCGCTGGATTGACCGGCCGCTGGATTGACCGGCGGCTGGCGATCGGGTGATAACGCTCGGCATCTTGGCAGACGTGGCGGTGAGCAGGTTCTTGATTTTGCTTCGTTTGGCCATCTCTTGCTCCTCTATCAAGCGAATGAGTGGAACATCTGGCAGAGTTGGATCTGGTGGAGGTGTTGGAGCGCGGAGGAAGTCTGTAACTTTACTCCGGCGGGGAGCGGAGTATCTGTATGTGGGACTGTAGCCAAGCAACTGGTTGCAATCTCGGTCACGGTAGCGGAGCGCTGTCCTGATTGCCTTGATGTTGTGGAAGTGATAGTTGGCTTGCAAGGCTTGGATTGCAGCAAAAGAAACAAGAAAGAAAATGACTAAGTACAGAAACATGAAGAAAGTATATTAACCGAGCTAATTTGCACGGCTTACATGTGCTTCCAAATTTTTTGCTTATCATCCAGCCTGGTACCGCAGCTGTCTCGTAATTGCCTGACACCCAGAAGAAATCATCATCGTGAAGATCCTTGTCTCGTGTGCCGGTCACAATTTTCTCTCTGCCCGGTCTAATCTTAAGATAACAGGCGAGCCCGTCGCTGGTGTGGCCTAGGGTGTATTGGCGCAGGATCTCAGCTAAACCTAGGCTTATGCCTAACCGGTTGTTTAGCTCGTGCACGCCGTTTATTATCCGGTAGGTGTTGGTGGATACTTGGGTTGGTGCAAGCCCGGTTCGGTGCAGGAACTCGGTGATCAATGGGTTGAGTGAAAAACGAAGGCCTCCTTCGACGATCGACAGCACGGTGAAGGGGCATTGTTCTGTTCTACCCCAAGGCGTGGTCTCTTCTTCCGCGAGCTCCAGGTGGACATCGGCCGGGATGTCGTACTCCTCCCTGAACACAGCCAGCGCGGTCGGAGTATCCACTAGGAAGCGGAATTTCCCCGTTTGTGGCCGGCCTAGGATAGCTCGGCTGAGGGGTTTGGCACTGTGGTAATTGGTTGTTGCTCGGTCCTGAGAACCTCAGGAATGGACAGTGGTCCCCTTGGACTCTGCAAGAAAATGATGGCAAGTGTAAGTGTAAGCGCGGTCGCGCGAAGGGAGGTGGACTTTAGCTCGGTCATTAAGAATGCCATACCACCTCGGTCGTCTAAGCTAACTAAAGAGCTCGGTCGCCTAAGCAGACCAGTTGTTAGACCGGTTGAGCGACCATTTCCTTTTGTTATCTCGGTTTTTGCTGGGGTTGAGACAAACATGTTATTTGCTTGGTTAGATTGGTTTTTTGGATCAAATGAAGACCAGGAGCCCGGTCTGCCCCAGTTCTTCAGTGTTCTTCATGAAAAACGAAGAACACCATGAACAGTGGCAGGTTTTGGACGATTTTTATGGCTACGACCTAAGAACTATGTTTTAGTGCCCTAATGTGAGAAATATTTAAGAAGATAGCAACAAAAGAGGGGTCGAAGGACTTACCAGTGAAAGGCAGGAACTGTTCCTTCAAGCACGAAGAATGGCAGACGAGGCTGGGAGAAAGTTGCTTGAGCTCTGGAGCGTCGGATTACAGAAAAGCAGTAGGAGCGAGTTGAGGAAGAGGGGGCTTGTATGTATAGACGAAGAAACCGCCAAAAATTCAAATTCTGGCAGATGGCTGGTTTGGCTGCTCGAGGAGTAATGGAAGCCCGCCACGTGTCCCCATTTATGTCGACATCAGAACTGAAACGACAGGTTGGAGAGTCGAGGAGACAACCGGGCAAATTTTTTAAGAAGAGGACGTCAACCGAGGAGTATAACCGGACAGGTTTGCAGGCAAGAATGTCAACTAGCCCGGTCGTCATTTCGCGTTCTGAGGACCGAGAAAGTGTCATCCCGGTCGAAATAAGTAATCCCAGTCACGCTTCAGCAGACGGAATTAAGGGGCAATTGAGAGGGAGATTTATGATCTGGAATTGGGCCGAGGTAAAGGCCGAGCAGGTTGAGAGCCTAATGGTGCATCGGGCCGAGATGACCGGCGATCCGCCTGGAGTTGGGCTGCCAGGAGTTGGACCGGGCAGGAGTTAGGCCAAGTATGTGTGGCCCAGTTTGGAAAGAAGCTGCTCGGCAAGGCAGTGCTCGGTTGGACCGAGCTGCTTGATCAGGCGATGGTGGAGCCAGTCAAGCTGAGTGACCGGTGCCCGGAAAGGCGTGGTCAGCCGAGGTAATCGTTTGATCGCAGGAAGGCCGACCACAGGAGGTGCCCCGGGGCTAGGCTTTGCCGAGATGCCGCCTAGCCCGGTCCTCCTTGGGCTAAGCCAGTGAAGTGCTTGGGTATGAAGCACAGCACGACCGTGGATAGAGAAGCTCGGCTGCCGAGCTCCAGCTGAGAAGACAGGCAGTTGAGATTAGGTGATGTTCAACAAGGTTTATGTTGACAGATGGGATAACGGAGCCACGTGTCAGGAGATGACTGGGAGTGGATATGGGGCGCAGAGGGTATATAAGCATGTCTGCGCCCCCCATACGGAGACAGACGAACACTTTGTAAGGAAATTCTTACATTCAAACACTCTTCCCTCTCTCTCTCTCTATCCTAAGGTGTGTGCTAACTTAATCGTCGAAGGGTTTTTCCGGCCACACACCGCCGGGTAGCTCACCGTTATTTGCTCGCAGGTGATCGGACATAACGGAGCTCGGAAGAAAAGAGTACAGGCTTGCCGGAATATTTGCTCCCCGTACAGTAAACAAATGGACAATTCCAGAATTTGAATCCAGAATTGAATTCTAAAATGGACAATCTGAAGCTCAATTCTAGAATATGTTAAACAAATGGACAATTTGAATTGATTTGATAGCAATGTAATCGTATATGTTAAACAAATGGACAATTTGAATTTGATTTTATTCAATTTCTAGTTGAATGTGAATCGTGTGTGTTAATTTCAAAACTGTGTTGCGTATAGTCACAAATGCAATAATGGTCTTCTCCTAAGCTAAGACTTTGTTTGGGAAGTTGGCTATTTTAGTTTTTGACTATTTTAGTTGACTAAAATTTGTGTGTTTAGAAAGACGGTTAAATTTTTTTTATAGTTGGATGTGATGGTTGTGAGAGAAAAAGTGAAATAATTATGGATTTGATGTGACATTTTGTCTTATTAGTTATTTTAGTTTATTTTGTTTTTTGTGAATTTTAGCCTAAAAAATCCACTTTTAGCCTTGCCAAACAAGGCCTAAGTTAACAAAAAGCCGTATGTTTACCCAATTTTGTTATTGGCTAATGATATTTGAATACCTCATGCTTATATTGGCACTACTAATTTATAGAAGTTTCACTTTTTGTTCTCTTCCTTTTTTGTATGTAGACTACGGATGATTGTGTATGTTGAGCTCCTTTGGTTCTGCTTCTGAAGGACCTCATTTTTACACTTGTGTTCAATGTAGGCAAATGAATATGATGGTTGCTTCTTGCAATTGCTACCTGATATAGCTGTGATAACAAATGTGGAATGGGAGCTTGTAGATATCTTTGAAAATGAGGTTAGCGGGTGACTTCAATATTGAAAGCAAAATATTTATTTATTTAAATCTGTTAGATTGGTGTAGACTGACATAATTAATTTTTCTATCAATTAAAACTAATTTTTCTGTTAGTAAAATGAATATTTCTGCAACAATTGAAATTTAGAAATAAATCTTTTATCAAGCACAAGTACATGGGTGTGATTATTGACTTTGTAGACATTTTTGCTTTCACAACTAGTTAATAAAATACTTCTGTAATGTTTGATGATTTTACTAAAAATTTTATTAATGTTGCTGAGCATCTGATTGGTTTATAATGAAGCAAAGATGAGAATGGTCACAAATAATTATGGGATGTGATTTGTTTGTGCACAACTCAGAATTTCTCTTATATGTTTCCTTTTTTATGTTAGAATTAAACTGGCACATGGACTGCTATCTTGTAAATATTCTGTCTCAGCAGCAGAGGTATGTATATTTTCAAAATGAGTTATCTTCCTGCTGTTGGTCTCTGCTTTATGCACTTACAGTGTTGTTTTGATTTTTGTTTGCCATCTAGAAGGATGATACCACAAATGCTGCACGCTCAACACCCACCGCTGTAAGTTTCTAGCTGGATCTTTTCCCAACACGTGTGTAGTGTTTTGATTGTTATAGGCATGTTTGAATCAAGTCATTTGGTTTTTCTTCGCTATTTTGATTTGAATATTTAGCAGTTTTGATCTTTAACAATTTTACATTGACCTGCTGTTTTTAATAGAGTTTTAAACCATAGTTTTTGTCACAAAACTTTGCTTTGCGTCTCCTTTGTTTTTCTTTTTAATTATTTATCTCATGCGCAGGTCTATATCTCTTCATTGATCTGCAAGCTATCTGTTCTTTTTTTTCTCATTGAACTTTGTCGTTTGTTTTGCCTTAATTTTCTATCACTTCTGTTGCCTTGTGACTTCTTTTCTTTTGCTATTCTGTTACCATCTAAAACTTTCAGAAACAGGGGGGCATGCCTCCTCGTATGTTCAAGGCAGTCATTGTTGCTAGTCATCCTGAATTTTCTACTATGAGACAACAGGTGTGCTCGGTTATCAGAGGCCTCGTTTGGCAACAGGCCGGTTTAGCCAAAAAATCAAAAAGTTACTAAAAAGCCAAAAAGCCAACAATCCATACCAAAAAGTCAAAGATTCTCTTTTCTCTCTACTTTTTACACATTTTTTCGTAAAAAGTTAAAAAATCATCCCAAACATACTAGTTTTTTTTAGCTCATATTTTAGTCAAATAGCCAAAAAGTTACTAAATTAGCCTGTTCCCAAATGAGGCCTCTCTTATGAATAATAATCTTGTTTTCTTATACAAGGAGATGATTTGATTCCTTCCAAAATGTGGATACAGCATCTTGGGTTTTTGGTGCAGTGAATGACTTAAAGATCCAGTTTATTGACTCAAATGTAGAACAGTGTTAATCTAACCCAAACCCACATCATATAGCCAGATACAACTATTAATCTGAACCATTTAAAGAAATATTCTATCTGGACAATGGGTTCCATTGGATTGCCTGCATGATGTGGGTTTGGATAAAAGGTTATACCAAACAAATTTTTATGTCTTTCTTTTGGTTTCATGATGGATACTTTAGGGACCAAAACTGGAATTTTTGCCTTAATTTCATATTTTAGGTGTCAGATTTATGGATCAAATTTGTGATCCAGTGAATTTTGAGATTATTTGGTGACTGACTTTCTGCCTAGTTGTGAGAGAGGGAACCTGCCACAAACCTTCGCCAATACTGGTTAGCAATTAGTGAAAACTATCCAATCGATTGTGTAGTTTAAACTGACACAATGTAGTAACCACTGGTTTTTATTTGGGAAAGAATTTGAGGCCCGGGTGGTTTTTGCTGGCAGCTTTCAAGAAATACCATTAACCTTCTATTTATTTTCAGGTCAACAACCATGTGGAATGATTAGTGAGTTACAACTTTATGTACTGCATAAAGTTCCTTCTTTACATTAATTATTTGCATGGGCTGCCTAAATGCTTGAAAAATCATAAATTTGTTTTGTATAAATCAGGTATGAGTGTATGTAAAATAGTTTGCTGTTTGTTAGGTTTATTTCATATTTTTCCCTAATCAATTTGTGAAGCATCTTTGATATCTACAGGTAAATTAGATTCTTTTGAGAAAAGTAAAAAATACTTATTAGTATATAAAAATTGGATTTATTGAAACAATGCCAAAGAAATGTTATCAGTTGAATTTTGAAATTTTATTAGCATAGTTTATAGTTCATGATTTCCTTTTCTTGGCGCATTATATTTTCGTTAATTCTTCAGTGTTTGATATATTATCTTGTCAATGTGTATTAACTTCTAGCTTTCTCATTAATTCTAAATCTTTGGTAGATATATAATTGAGGTATTGATTTTGTTGTGACTTGGATATTCTGGTAATTTATTGATGGATTCTGTTTATTTGTATGCTCAGGTGAAGTTGATAGAAGAATTGCATTTGGCCAATTGAAAAGATTTGCTTAGCGAGAATTACAACTAGCTACAGACAACTTTAATGAGAAAAATGTCCTTGGAAATGGGGATTTTGGAAAGGTTTATAAATGAGTGCTTTCAGATAATACTGAAGTGGCTGTGAAACGATTAAATGACTATGAGAGTCCTTGTGGAGATGCAACATTCCAGTGTGAAGTTGAGATGGTAAGTGTAGCTATTCACAGGAATCTATTACGTCTGATTGGATTCTACTCAACACCAACAAAACGTTTGGTGTATCCCTTCATGTAGAACGCCTTTTGATTTATTGTAGCGAATTTTTGAAGTCTTTTGATTTTATATATAGCTGGTGTATGGATGTCACCAGTAGCTCATATGTTTAAATAGGTTTGTATGAAATTATTATTTTAAGTTGGAATATACTTGGTTTGTATGCAATGTTGAACTCATTTTTTTATTTGGATGGTTGTAAGTGAAATAGATGTAAATTGTGGAATGGGTGATAATATATATGCATTGTTTTGTTTGTATACATGTTACAGGTTGCATGATATACATACAGGCTGTGGACATATTAATTTTTTTTAAAAAAAAAGATGTTTTTGGCTACTAAACAATTGGTAGCCAAAAATGAAGTAAATATTTTTAGTGACTAAATAGCTAGTAGCTAAAAAAAGAATTAAATGGAAACAATTCTTTTAGTGACTAAATATGTAGTAGCTATAAACAAAAAACTTTAGGTGACTAATGATTTAGTAGCCAAAAAAAACAAAAGAAAGAAAAAAATTAATTGGCAACTAAAACTTTAGTAGCTCAACAAAAAACTAGACTTTAGGCGACTGAATCATTTAGTAGCTAAAAGAAATAAGATGAATAAAAATGAAAATTAGCGACTAAAAGTTTGGTTGCCCTAAATGGTAATGTTTTTTGTGACAAAAAATTTTAGTCGCTGAAAATATAATGTTAAATTTATTATGAGCTTTTGGCGACTAAAAAATTAGTCGCCAATTGAATACTTTCAGTGACTAAATAATTCTTTGTTGCCAATTGAAGACTTTCAGTGACTAAATAATTTTTAGTCGCCAGTACCTTTCTCGACAATCATCTAGTGACAAAGCTAGCGATCAAAAAGTTTAGTCGGCAAAACGTTTTGGAGACTAAAATATGACTTTTGGCGACTAAAGTGTAATTTGTTGTAGTTATATGGAGAATAAGAATGATTTTGTTTTTAGAATGGAGGGAGGCTACTTTGATCTTACTACATTGAATGGGACCTAATAGGATAATAAAAAATAATTTGGGTTTTACGTAGGGGTGAGCGCGGGTCAATTGTGGCCACAGAATTTTCAATCCGCCATCCGTCCGCCAATCCGACCGATGTGGATTTAGCAGATTGGCGGATTGATGGTTGGATGCGAATCGGTTTGGCGGTTTAAAAATTTATAAATTTTCAACATAATTCAACTGGTGCACTTTCTAAAAAAATAAAAAAATAAATAAAAAATTACAGTCAATGACTTAACAAAGTATTACAATCACTACATGCCTCATCCAAAGAAAGAAAGTTTGAAACTTTATTCACATATTACAATCATGGTATGCCTCATCCACATATTACAAAGTATTATAATGTGTGGTCCTTAAAATATAAAAACAATTGAAACCATCAAAACTATGAACAAAGCAGTAGTAGAGATTATATGCCTCTATATTGTTACATCTATATTTGTGTTTGAAAACAAAAACCAACCATCATATATAATCTTTTTTATTTATTATTTTTAGAGTTAGATTTAGAAACTAAAATATATAGATAAATAATACATTTATTTTTTTCAATTCAAAAACTATATTTAAGTTGAAAACTCTTTTTCAACAGAATATATTCAACAGAATATTTAAAATCTTTTCAATTGAAAACACAAATTGAATATATAAATAAATTGAAAATACAAATCTTACAAATTATTAGGGATGCTCAGCTGTTTGGCGGTTCGGTTACGGCTAAATGAATTTTAAATCCGCCATCCGTCCAAAACTAGGCAGAATGGAAAAAATCAATCTACAACCGTCCGCTCGTCATCACGCATCCGTCCAAAATGCGGCGGATTGGATCGGTTCGGTCGGTTTGGGCGGATCAAATATCCGCTGCTCACTCATAATTTTATGGTATAAAAGTGTTAGAAACATGATTTATGAAAAAAGTTCTCCTAAAAAGTATTTACACATTCGTAGAAAAAATTATGATTTAATGTTTTAATGGTTATAAACTTTATTATTAATATGTATTTATTTTTCAAAAATTACACTCAATTAATATTTTCCCAAAAGAAAAAAAGAAAGTAGGATAATAGTTAGAGTATTGCTATATAAATTTAAAAATTAGACTCAATTTTTAAATCTAGTTATATCCAATCAATTAAGATATCTAAAATAACATTTTCTTTTGTGCATTATTTAATTATCAACTAATCATATTGAATATATTTTATTAAGTCTAAAAATGAGTTTAAAAAATGAACATACATATATATATATATATATATATATCATTTTCTTAATATTTATTTAAAAAGGGTGGGGTTCATGACCACCTTTTGCTGCTTGGACCACAAAAACAAATTGGCTTTTCAAGTGTTCGACAAACAACTCCTATCCTATGGTCTAAATCTTTACGGATTCACAACCAAAAAAAGAAAAAAATATCTTTACGGATCTTGTGGTTGGCACAGTTTGCGGTCGGCAGCCCATTAAGGTTTTGGATCTTCAATTTGTAACAAATTTAGTGAAGAAAGGAGATTAAAAATAAATAAATATAATTTTTTTCATTTTTTTTTCCATCTATAGATTTTCAAATCTATAAGGAAAGCAATACACAAATAAAAAAAATTACACGAATTTTTATATTAGAATGATGATAATATCAATTTTGAAATATCTCACATTGGATTTAAAAAAAAAAAAAAAGTGATAAGACCTAAGATTACCATTTCATTTTGAATTAAAATTCTATAAATTTATGGAGAAAAAAAAATCTCATTAAATCTTATAACCACTATAGTGAGATGATTGATTCATGAACTTTTATGAAAAAAAATTAAATAGGGCTTATTGGGAATTTTTCCTAAAGTTTTTGTTTTTATAATAATACTCAGTCTATAATTCAACAAATACTACACTTATCATATTTCTATATTATATTAAGTATTTTACTAGTAATACACTCGCGTATATTTTTAATATAGTGCTAACAACTAAATTGAAAAATCAAATGGTTTTTGTTATCACAATAATTACATTAAATTGAAGTTCCAAGTAATAACTTGACAAATGATTCAAATTACGATCTTACAATATATTTAAATGAATAGTTTTAAATATGTCACATCATAATTCAGAGGAGAGTACAGATTTAAAAAAAAAAATTTACAAAATGATGTGAGATCATTATGAATCTATCAATTTATAAAATAAAAAAAAAAATCTATCAAAAATGTCACTGTTGTATTATTTTTATAATAAATTTTGTATAAAATTTATGTAAAAATATCTTTTCCTTTAGAGCATATAATGTCACTGTCAAAAAAAAAAAATGGCCACCACAAATTTTAAGTTTCATTGTTTCTCTCTAAAGTTGTTTTTAGTCCATAAATTTAGAAATAAAAAATATATATAAAATATAAAAAAAAATATAATTATATTTTATTCACGTTCTACTTATCTTTTCTATTTTATTTTCTAATTCATTTTCAAATTCATAAATCAAACCTTACTCATCTTTTCTATTTTATTTTCTAATTCATTTTCAAATTCATAAATCAAACCCCACCTAACCGTGTCACTATCTTGCGAGTATGGCTGTGTACCAGATTTTTATTGGTTTCATTCGATTTTAGGAAAATGAATTGTTCATTTCATTTGAGTGGGTGTTTTTTAGTGATTGGATGTCCGGATCAACTAATGTACATTTTGATTCAAATAAAGTGTTATTTTTATTTGAATCAAACAAATTTCAAGTAAAACTTACAGGCTTGATTTGGTTTTGTTTTTCTGAAAACAGTTTTTAAAAAATTATATTTTCTTATTTTTCGTATTGTTTTGTTTTTATTAATTTTTTTTAATATTTTAAGCAAATTTTTTAATTTTTAGATATATCTAACATAAATATACCTAAAAAGTAAAAAATCTGTGAAAAAACTTTTTAAAAATTCACTAAATACAAAAAATATAAAAAAATAACATAATTCAATACATTTTTTATATTTTTATGTATTTATTAATTTTTTAAAATATTTTTTTACAATTTTTTTACTTTTTAGATGCATCTAAAAAAGTAAAAAAAAAATACTTAAAATTTTAAAAATATTCACTAAAAATAAAAAACACAAAAAACAAAAAATTCAGTTTTCAAAAAACTTAATCCAGAAAACTCAAACCAAACACATTTAATAGCACTTAATGAAAAATGAATCCATAATCTAAAAAGTATACACCTCTACGCCTAGGGCTGAGTAAAGAATCCGTGAAATCTGTAATCCGATCCAATCTAATCCAATCCGATAGGTTTGGATTAGTTTTTTGAATTCGCGGTTCAGTTCCGGATTGAAGAATTAAAAATCCATAGTATACGGATTGGTTCTTGATTGAACCCCACGGTTTTGGATTGGAATCGATCCGGACCGTATACAAATAGTCTATATTTTTATTATCAAAAATGCGCCGAACCCCCAGTAAAACCCACCCCACCGACCCCCAGTGCCACGTGGCACTGCAGGATTGGAAGAAAAGAAAAGAAAAGAAAAAACAGAAAACTGGCCAATGGAGGCCCGCCACGTCACTGGGGGTCTGTAGCAGCGTTGTTTTATTATACATCCTCTCTCATAGTATCTTCTCTTATTCTATATAAAATCTAAACTCAAATCTAAAACCGTATAACATCTTCTTTTATTACTTTTATTTGTTAGTTTTTAGTTTTAATTTGTAATGGTCTAAATATAAAACCAGTTTTCTTATGATTGTTTAAATTCTAGAACAGTATGTCGCTATTATAGAAAAGCATGTTACTATTGTGAAACTAATATAACGCTATATTTATATTTTTATGAAATTAAAATATTATATATATATATATATATTTTTGTTGTTTAATTATGTGAATCCGTGGTCCTAGATTGATCCAATCCATATATAAATGGATTGATTCGAATTGATTTCATTATTTAAACAGATTAAATTAATTCCAATTATCTAATTCAAACCATGTTCACACTTACCTACGCCCCAAACTGCGTCACCGACCCTTGGGTTGATTTCATTTGAATGATTGATTACTAGAACAAAGAACAAGAACTTTTGCTAATGTTATTAATGGAAGGATGGCTAAATGATAGAGACGTTGGGTTAGGTTAATTAAGGCCTCAATTTTCATAAAATAATTGAGCCGACAGCCTAGTTCTA